CTATAGACCACAAAATAATCAAAATCCGAATTTAAATATACCAGACATAAATCGTGATGATAGAAGTAATTTCAACAATAATCAATTCCAGCCTCGCAACAATAATACATTTTAATCGCAACAATAATTATAATCGTAATAGTAATTATCGGAATAATAACAATGCAATAGGTAATATACAATGTTATCAATGTCGAGGTAATCATTTTGCCCGGGATTTTGTACAGAATCGTAATAGCAATAATTCACGTCCATCTAACAATAATTTTACTCGACAGCCAACTAATTATAATGCTCCGGCAAATTTAGTATGCACATATTGTAAACAAAGTGGGCATGACGTTACTAAATGTTTTAGGAAACAGAATAATGATAGACGTACTAATGGGTCGGGAAACTTGCCAAGATCGGACGAAAGGAGTGGCGCTCGCCCGATAAATTTAATAGCCACAGTAGAGGAAGATTTAGACGATGTCTACACATCGTGTCAGTCTTAAACAACAACCATATTACTTGTCAGTCTGCCAATATAAAAAAAGAAATCATGGAACTACTTGTAGACACTGGAAGCGATGTTAATTTAATAAAATTTAGTACTTTGACAGGTGACACACTAGTTCAAGAAAATAAAAAAATATATTTAAAAGGAATTAATTATAGGATCGTGCCAACAGTAGGCTCGATAAAAATAACTTTAAGATTTAATGATGTTAATATAGAAACAGAGTTTCAAGTAATACGTGATTCGTTTCCTATACCTAAGGATGGTATATTGGGACAACAATTTTTAATGGAAAATAAGGTAGTGATAGATGTAGCGAATAACTCCTTAATAATAAATAATAAGATAGTTAATGTTTTAAGTTGAAGCCAAGGACGGAAACAGTGGTGACAGTGCCAATTGCCGATCCGGCTATGGAAAATAAAGATATTATAGTTTTAAAGCAAGAATTAATTAAAGATGTATACTGTGCCAATGTGGTAGGAATAGTAAAATTAGGAAAGGTTATAGTTAGTATATTAAATGTTTCTGAAGTAACTAAAGAAATTAATGAAAGTATTATGAATCGAATATTATATGGAAAAACTTGATAGATCACAACAATAAGTTAATGGATGTGTTTGAGCGTTTGCGAGAGCATAACCTAAAGATTCAGCCAGATAAATGTGAGTTTGTAAAACGAGAATGTATATATTTAAGACATGTATCTGAAACAGAAATAAGACCTGATCCAAAGAAAATACAAGCTGTTCTAGATTTTCCGGAACCTAAGAATGTAAAACAGATAAAATCTTTTCTAGAATTATCGGAATATTATAGCCAGTTCATTGAAAATTACAGTTCAATAGCTAGGCCTATAACGAATTTATTAAAGATCGATGTAAAATTTGATTGGAATGAGGAATGTGATAAAGCTTTGGGAAGTTAAAGCATGCTTTATGTACTGAGCCCGTATTGCAATACCCAGATTTCACGAAAGAGTTTATATTAAAACAGATGCTAGTGGGAAAGCGTTAGGAGCCATACTATCTCAAGGGGAAATAGGAAAGGATTTGCCCATAGCTTACGCTTCAAGAACTTTGAGTCCCAGCGAACATAACTATTCCACAACGGAGTTAGAATGTTTAGCCATTGTTTATGTAATTAAGCAATTATTAGACCTTATTTATATGGAAGGAAATTTACAATCTTAAGTGACCATAGACCATTAGCTTGGTTATTTAATTTAAAGGATCTCTTATCAAAGTTAGCTAGATGGAGAATACAGTTAGAACAATACGATTATGTTATTAAATATAAACCGGGAGTTCAAACGGTAACGTAGATGCCTTATCTAGGATGTTCACTATACAGGATATAAAGGAGGAAAGCTATAACAATTTTCTTGTAAAATTCGAAACCACATTGGTAACCATTGGAAACGTTAAGGAAGTACACGGGGAATTGTTAGAGTCACCTCCTGAATATCATATAGTTACTGAAATAGAAAAGTATTATAACTTCAGGACAGGAATCAACTATGAGATAAAACAGAAATTTGGGGATACAGTTATCTTGAAATCCAACAAACAAGTAGGAGAAGTAACAAAAGTTAAACATGAAGATAGGTATATAATATTATAGCATTAAATTAAAGCATATTATGGCATCATTAGTGATAACAAGTGATAATTTTTAGTGCGTCTTGTTTCACATATAACTTTATTGTCTTTACGCTTATATTAAATGTTTTTTGTTTGTTGTTCTTTGATTTTGCCTGTTCTCATCTATGAGTGGTTGCGTGCTCTTACGTTCTTTTACAACTTAAATATTATGTTCTTACTTTTCTGCCTATACGGCTGTACGTAAGTGTTTATCCCATTATCATTCTTATAAAACGATTCATATTATTACGGTCATCTGTTTAATTGGTGACTGTATAACAGTTTGTTCATTCTTCTTCTCTGCTGTGACGTCACTAAACTGCGCCTACCTTCACATCTACATCTTAGTGCATCTTAGGTTGCATCACATTACTCTCAAAGACTTTCTAATATTTGACCATATTGCTTTTACTATGAATCATACCGCGCAAAAATTATCGCCAAAAAAAGTTGTGATCAGATCAGTTTCGTCCACCTCTATTAAGTCTCTTAACTCACCAAATTCTTCTTCTTCTCTGCTATCGACCGTTGAATTCAACAAGTATCAAAAATGCTCAAGAGGAGACTTTATCACATTGTAAAGCTCTTCTTTCGTCCCAGAATAAAGAATTCGGTAAGCTTAAATCGAGTGTTGACCAGTTATTTTCTATAATTAGCGAATTTAGGTCTGAAAACAATCTTCTTCGTGAAGATCTATCACTTCTAAATAATCGTGTTACTAATCTTGAATCAAATCAATCAATCAATTCACCTCAATTCTCAGACTGTGATACTATGCCTCAACTCTTGCATGAGCTAACTGAACGTGATAAATGTTCATATAGTTTAATTGTACACTGACTTCCTGAATCTACGGCTTCTTTAGAAAATACCAGAATAGCTGATGATTTAAAAAGCCTATCGGATACTGCCCAACTATTAACGTTATCTCTTCCTCCTGCAGATATCAAATTATTTAGGCTCGGTGGTGGTGGCCGCAATAAAGTGAGGCCGTTAAAAGTCATTTTTCCTTCTAAAGAGCTTGCTTCTACTTTTAATAATGAGTACAGTGTTGGTAATCGTAATGCTAGAGCTCATTCTATTTCTATTGCTGTTGTTCGTGATCGTACTCTACTGAAAAGAAAACATATACGTCGTGTTTATACTAAACTTGAGAAACGTAAAAAGAACGATGAATCCAATATTATGGTCAAATACAGGAATGGAATACCTTCTATTGCTCCAGTTACTAATAGGTCTGTTTCCAAGACTAATTCTACCTCATTTGGTGTCACAAAAAGTAACTGACTAGCCGAATCTCGATTTATTTCTACAGACTGCCAACATTCATCTCTTAATGCATAGGGCTAGTGTAATTGATGGACAAGCGTTCATCAGACGAGCAATCAGCCTCAAATTGAACAGTCACTAATTACTCAATAGTCACATTTCGCTTAAATCATAGACATAATTAATTGGACTTAGACTATTTTTCATCATAACTGTTTTTGCACAAAATAAATACAATTATTACCATCATCGAGGAGTTGGAGATAGGTTATCCATCGTTGACAGGTTGATGTTATATATATGAATTTTTCCAAAGCTTTTGATCGAGTTGATCATACTTTACTAATTGATGTTTTACTTAATTCTGGGTTTGGTGAACCATTGTTGTCGTAGTTTCAGTCGTATTTTCGATATCGTAAGCAAATTATTTATGTTCGTGGTAGTAAGTCTGTTATTATTGATGCAACTTCTGGTGTTCCTCAAGGAGGTCATCTCTCTCCTTTACTTTTTGCAATATTTGTTAACAATATTAAAAAAGTTATTAGTCACAGTCATTTTCTTCTATTTGCAGATGATCTAAAATTATTTTTAAAAATTGATTCTCTCAATGACTATTATCTACTTCAAAATGATATCAACTCTTTAGTTACTTGGGCAAATGAACATCATCTTGAACTCAATTTCTTGAAATGTCACTCAATGTCGTTTTACAGAACTCGTGATAGATTTGATTATTCCTACTCTATCAATGCTAATCCTTTAAAGAGATCTGAAAATTAAGTTTTGGACCTTGGTATCACGTTTGACCGAGAGTTAAATTTCCATTCCCATTTTGACAATATATGCTGCAAGGCCCTAAAAATGCTTGATTTTATTAAAAGAATTTGTAATGAATTTAAGTTAACTTCTCCCATAAAAACCTTATATTGTGCTTACGTAAGGTCTATTTTGGAATATGGTGCTGTTGTATGGGATCCTTCCACTTCTTGTGGTAAGGATCAAATTGAAAGAGTACAACGTAAATTCCTAAGTTATGCTGCATTTATTTTAAGTATCGACCATCCACCCCAATTTTAAATAAACTTGGTTGATCATCATTAGTTGATAGAAGAAAAGTTGCTATCCAGAAATTTCTCCGCTCACTAATAGCTGTATTGATTCTCCTGTCTTACTTTCCATGATTAACTTTAAAGTCCCTTGCTCTTCTGCCCGTCAAACTTATCCATTTTTTATTCCTAAATGCAACACCAACTATTCTGAGAACCAGCCAATCCTTAGAATGATGCGTATGGCAAATAGTGATCCATTATTTCTTTAGTATTTGTTGTATTTTTTATTGTGTTATTCATGTTCCTAATTTTGTAAATTAGTAATTGTTACTACTGTTATTATTGTTATCATAGTTAAATTTAATTAGTGTTATCAAATTATGTTAATTGGGCTCAGCCCGTATTGTTAATAATAAATAAATAATATTCTTATTAACCAAAAGTAAGACTAAACAGATCACTACTTATGAAAATCTATATAACGCTCTATTGAATTTAAAATATTTCAGTGAGAAGCATTCTTTAAATAAACTCATAATGAAACAACTAGGACCAGAAGGAATAGGATATGAAGGGGTAGTTTCAACACAATTCGGTTTGACATTAGAACAAATATTATTCGAACAAAGATTACTTGTAGAACCAATACCTGGTCAAGAGTTTCCAATTAAAGATAATTTAACTAATGCAAATGGTTTAGGAAAAGAAACAAGGAAAAGATCTTTATCCGATATTTTGGAAACAACTACCAAGTTGAATAACACAGAATATCCAATAACCACACCAATAAATAACCTTTTCCCGAATGTAACTATTAATTCAGGTATAATTACCCAACAAACAATTAAAGAAAATGTGACAAAACCAGAGTGCAACAACCGAATCTAGTAATGTAACTATTGTTAGTAAATCACACATAAACACCATCACTCTTGAGAAATCCACCCAAGTCAATGACCTAAAGGAAATCACCAAGTCCAATGGTACAATATAAGTCGTATGAGGAAAATGATAAAAGCATACAAGAAACCTCATTTTCGGATACTGTTGACAGGAATATAAGTACTAATTCCACTAACATACCAGCAATAATAAATAGATAACTAATAACGTAACTAAAGTGTAATCTATTAATAGTAAATGTATAATTAATGTAGAAATTCATATTTGTATATAGAGAGAATACCCACAAGTTCGTAATAATGGACTTCGAGTTTACCAATATCCATAAAACCAGTAAGGTCCTCATATCTGGAGCTATTTCAAATAGTTTGGACCGTTTTAAGATAAGGAAGCTTGAAGGACGACCATTATACCTACCAGAAGACGGGGAAGTAAGACCAATGAAGGACCGTGAGGTATTAGTTGCACAGAGAGCGTTGGCTCGAATTTTTAGAGCAAAAACGGAACTTCGAGACATATGTTTGGAACAATTGAACCAGAGTCTAAGAGCACCAGTAAATAGTTTAAATGCGACCTATATACGAAACTATATACTGCGTGGTGATAAGATTAATGTGTTAGTAGTATGGGAAAGTAGTTCTGACAAGATCATTCTAAAAAGATTAGGAATAACGGAGTTTCCGATACTAAATTTAACTTGTTATGACAAATATTTTAATAAACAATTTTATATGCGATTGGAAACAGTAAACCCTAAAACAATAATTTTTGAAATAGAAGTAGGTACTTATGATAAATCAGGAAGAACCTTAAATCTTACTGAGGCACATAACTTAATTTGCAGAAAAAAACATAAGGTTACACATTCACACGACCCACGAACGGATGTTATATTTACAAAATGTATATTTGATTTCGTCGTGCGGAATTATCGATATGAAAACTTAATTAAACATTTTAAATAAAAAAAAAAAAAAACTTAAAAACTTAAAAATTGCAAGTAATAACATTTTATAATTATAGGGAACAGTAATCTAAAAAAAATGGATAGGAATGAACAACTATTGCTAGAAATTAACATAAGTTTAGCAATCCAGACACACACAAATTCAGAACAAGGTGAATGGTATAATTATACAGAATGTTTTGATTATCATATAATTTCTGCAAATAATTCAATACTTGTACCATACGAAAGCAGAGAGGTTGTAATCAATTGTAATATATATATATATATATATGTAAACTAATATGAATTAAATAATTGTATTAAATATTGTATTGGAAATTATTGTATTTTAATCAATTAACTTAATTAAATACTTAATCAATTACTAACAAATATTTTTATTGTATTTAAATTTTATAATATATATATAACATTATTGTATTAACTTAATCAATTGTAATACTCTAGTCGAGTAAACTAGTCAAAAATGTGATTATCATGTAAATTGTCATGAATAAGACAATTATTAATCAAATTGTAAAACTATGTAACCAAATGTAATGTAAACCTATGTGTCACACTATGTATGCAAATTGTATTTTGTAATTGATGGACAAGCGTTCATCAAACGAGCAACCAGCCTCAACTTGAACAGTCACTAATTAATCACTAGTCACATCTCACTTAAATCATAGACATAATTAATTGGACTTAGTCTATTTTTCATCATAACTGTTTTTGCACAAAATAAATACAATTATTACCATCATCGAGGAGCTATTCAATTTATACTTCCATCTATTCGAAAACGAAGAGTAGCACGTTACAGAGTGGATATTTTATATTATATTTTTATTACTTATTACTTATTAATAAAGTATCCGGTAAGTTGAATTAATATTATAAAATTACAACAAAATAACTAAAACCCTTATTTTTGGTTATTAGCAGTTGAAAAATATTAAAAATAAATAAGCACAATTTTTTTTTTACAAGATTTTGAATTTCAAATATTGACAAAATGTATTAAATTTGAAATTCAAAAATTATTTTACGATTATAAATATATAAAATGTTTAACTTTTATAGCTAAGTATTGAAAATGTAAGACAGGCTTAACCATGAATAGGTTATATTATATAAATTACTTAATTCACAATAATATCATCAATAAATTTATATACTTACTAATATCATAGGCTGACCACCTTTTTTCGATTTTAATTTAAATTTTTCCTATGGTTATAAGATTTTTATTATTTAAATTTAAAATGATAAAATGATTTTAATAATTTAAGATTTTAATATTATTGAACAATAACTATTCAATCTTTTTCAGTAGGTTTTAGTACCTAAAATAGGTTTGAATGGTTTTATTCATAATTAATATTTTTGTTTATTTAAAACGTCCATTTACATTATTGCATAACGAAATAGTTAAGGGGCCTGCACGCGACCTGTTTTTTTGCTCAAAAACATGCCTTACAGGAAAAACTCTCACGCCTCGTAGATTGGTCCGATTTCCGTAATTTTTTTTTTGTTAGATAGAGGAAGACTTCTTACAGGGCGCATTGGACTTGGATTTTCAACATTATTTTTCTAAGTCTTATGTTACAAGTTTGAATTTAATCAATTTTTACAACTTTTTAGTTTTTGTATTATTTTTTGTTTTTAGCGACGTAATCAAAAATCAAAGTCCAATGCGCCCTGTAAAAAATATTCCTCTATCTAACAAAAAAAAAATTACGGAAATCGGACCAATCTACGAGGTGTGAGAGTTTTTCCTGTAAACTGTGTTTTGACCGATATAATACACCCTATCAACCCCCCCTAAATAGGTATTGGGTAGTAGATTAGTGGAAAAGTCTTATAATTGAGGTGGCAACTAAAATATAAAATTTAATTTTCAATTTTATAGAATTGTGGACAATTTGAAAAATCGCGAGCAGGCCCCTTAATCTAAAAATGAACATTATTATAGAACTGTTGGTTTTTTATAAATTTGAATGTAAAATAAGTTTTTTTCAATATAAATGATGAACATAATTGTTATAAATGTCAATTAAGATATTACTTTTTATTTAACAGAGGGTTCTACCAATAAATTCGTATCGTTGATTAGAATTTATTTCGAAATCGATTTTTGGACCAGAAGTATTCCAAGTTAAACTAAGAAGTTAATATTATGTGTATATTATTATTATTATTAAATGATTTATTTATTTTTTAGATTCTGAGTGGAACAATGAATGTATTGATTTTACAATGATGTGTGTTTTTTTTTTATTTTTTAATATTTTAACTTATACTGGCATACTGCTTATATTTTTAACTTGTTTATGTGTACGATATGATGTGACGTCTCAACCATTCAGTAAAAAATATAGTAGACAAAACTTTTTTTGGTTCTTAACACATTTGAAGACGTGATATATTATTAATGTACAATTATGAAATATATTACATAATATAGTAAACATTACAATACAAAGTGAATGTTTTTATGCGAAATGTATCATCAATAATAATTTTATTATATTATTTATAAATTAGCGTAAATTGGATTTGGTTAAAATTAATTAATTGTTCATAAGTGTAAGAAAAACGATTCTGAGCGAAAACGGTCAGTCAGCCTATGATATTACGAAGTATATTTCATGATATTAAGGTGAATAAAGTAATTGATATATAACCTATTTACGTGGAATCTTGCTTTAAATGTTCAATCCTTAGCTATAAAAGTCGAACATTTTATAAACTTTTAACAACAAAATTATTATTAAATTTTAAATTTGATAAATTTTGTCAAAATTTGATCTTTAAATGATTATAAAAAACAATTGTGCCTATGTATTTTTAATATTTTTCAATTGCTATTGTAACAATACATCAGGAGCCTTGCATTAAATTTTCACGATTTTTACCCAACAAATAAAATTTTATGGATAATTATAGAAAAAAAACTAAAAAAATTGAAAACTGAAAATGTCCGTAAACAACTCAAAAAGCGTCAAAATATTTTCAAAATATTATGGTGTATAGGAAATGCTAATATAATTAATATTCAGTGAAATTTTCATGTATCTACAGTTATTCGTTTTTGAATTACAACAAAATAAAGAAATCGCTACATGAGAAATCAATAGGGTTTTAAAATTTCATGAAATTTATTTTCTCATGAAACATTTCATGAATTTTCCATGAAAAATAAAATGTTTTTTAGGTATATCTAAAAGTTTATAGTAGTCAACTTCCAAATGAAAGTTTTTGAAAAGTTGGTTTATTGTATGAAACAAAGAAAATATGTAACTTTGTTAGGTACATATAATTTATAATTTGTTTAACAAATCTATAATAGAACAAATTTAAACATTGCATTTTAACTCTTAAGTTGCAAACTCATAAACCAACTTAATATCGTTATAATGTAATGTTGAGAGCCATAGCTCTGCGAATGCATATTATATTATACCATATTGTTATTATATTATATTATATTTACAATGTATAGACACAAACCACTCTTAATAGTCGTGAGTCGTGACCTTTTACAAACTACAAAATATTATGATTTAAGTATTAAATAAAGAGTCCAGAGTACCTTCACATACACACACATATACGACTTTTGTACACTTAATAATTACTTAAAATACACTATTATATCATTCACAATATTTTATAACTCATATCAACATTTTAATCCCAAAAAAATGCCAGGAATAAATTTTCAGCACTAAATATTATAGAATATACAAATACTATGAAATAATAAATCAACAAAAAAAGTATGTTTTTCTTTATTTCTATATATTATTATATCTTATCATCTATGACCGAACACATTTAAAAGAAGAAAAATTATTTTTCATAATTTCATTGAAATAATTCAAGAAGCGTGAAATTTTCAATTTTGAAATATTTCAATTGAAAAATTTCAAGTGAAGTATTTCAAATTTAGAACATTAGAAATGGAGTGAATATCAAATGTTGTAGAAATATGAATTTCAAACGCTCATAAAAATTTAATTTAAGT